CCCCACTTGGTGAAGTGTGGCTGTGGGTTGGATCAATGGCAATAGGTCTTTTTTCCGCTCCTCTTTTAGCGGCGTTGTTGTCCTGGTGCACGTTCTATATCATTCTGACACCAGTAGTGCTAGGGATCTGCACATTTGGAGATCTCACTGGTGTATTCCTTTTGCAGTACTTTACAGGTCAAGTCATGGGTCGTGTTGGGGTAGATTGGTACTTTTATTTTATTGTATTTCTATCTATCTTTGACTTAATGACGTTTGTTATTCTCACAGTTTTAGGTTATTACATAAATAAAATAGAGAATAAAAGTTAAACATAAGTAAATCAAATACTTTTCTTTTGGGTGATGCTTTTCAATTTTGGACGTGCCTTTCTCAAACAGTAAAGGTGAAGGTGATATTCATGTTGAACAGTTAGTGCCCTTTCTACGAAGATGTTTGTTTGATCATGGTTACAACTTTCAAGCACTTTATGAATCTTCAGACACGTTGTATGGAGCCATATGGAGGACATTTCTGAATTTGACGCAAGTCCCTATTTTGACTTGTACCATATGTTCCCATTTTTCGGGTGAAGGTGCCTTTGCAGTTGTCTGTAACGAGAGTTTGTTTGTTCGCACTCAGCAATATTCCAGCTATATGACGGCGGTCTGTAAATATTCGAGTCTGGACCAGACAATCCATTGATTGATATCATGAGCATCGTTCCACGTAATTGGGATACTCTGACATGCATCAACTAAGACAGCGAGTCTGACCACCCGATCCCGATAGTCACCTCTTACGGCAAGCATGGGTCAAAATCATACAATGGTGTCGTATGTTTTCAAAGCTTTCTTGGAAGCGTTGCCCCATGGGTGGACAAACCAACATCACCAACCCCACCCACGAGGCAGAGACTACCAGATTATATGCATCTGTTAAGAAATTTGTAGGCTAGCTCTGTAAAATCAGCATTGGTCCGGACTAGTACAAGCAAGCACACACACACACACACACACGCACACACGCACGCATGCACGTCGCTATATGTGTGCAATAATCTTGGAAGCGACGTTAAATCCTATTTCACCTCACCTCCAATCACCTTGTAAAGGGTTTCTCCCCAGGCTTCATCGACTGTCATCATTTGTCACCATTGTTTGTTATTTCTGTTGTTTAACCCTAAGTATATGTATTCTCGCCTATATAACTATGCCCAATACAGTTCATCACTTGCTTGATAAAGGTTCCAGAATCTGTACTGAAAAGTTGCATTGAAAGAATAAAAAAAGTAAAATGCATTTGTCAACTGTCATCCTTGATACTACATCCGCATACTAAAAAGTGATATATATAAACAAGAAAAAAGAGTAGTCAAATACTGGTTGAAATTATGCCATACATCATTCATCTGATGAAGGGACTAGAAGTACCATCGAAAACGTTGTGTGAAAAGAATACAGAAATTGAAAGCCACATGTCTGGATGGAAACATTCCTGTATTCGTTCGTTGAAGAAACTCACTCACTCCCACAATTCAGTTACTCCATCTGATCAATGAACTGTTTAAATATCATGACGATGTAGTACATCACAGGAAGGATGACTGGCAGATAAGCATGATAACTCTTATTGGATTTGAATGTTATAATGCATGCGAACATTTCGTTCAATTTACTAACATTTTTTTATAACTTAAAACGTACCTGCTGATTAGTTCATTTGGGACAGACTCACTATGATCGTAACTATTCAGTATTTGCACGTTACTTTGCACGTTCTGGTTTTAGGCTCAAATGATCTATCAACATGTCTAAAAACTTTATCGCATGGCATATATTTATATATGCCATTAATTGCAATTTATTCTATTATATATTTTTATTCTGAACAAAATGAATAAAAACAGCACTTGAACATCTTTTTCACAACCATCATATCTGTTTATTATTATTGTTGTTGTTGTTGTTTCAAATAAACGCGACAAAACCCTTTCCAAAATCATAAGAAATTTCTATTAGTGATGACACCAGGTGTTCGAGAAAGGTGAGTCACAGTAAGTGAATGTTGTTTATCGTCATACTGAGCAAAATTCCAGCTATAAGACTGTCGGCAAATAATCAAGTCTTGACAGGCCAATCCAGTGACGAAAAGTATTAATCTGTCCAACTTGACGAAAGTATTCCTATCTATTCTCTCTCCGTATACCATTCAAATTCTGTCAAGAAGTAAAACCACCAGTTTACAATTTGGTCATTGTGTGTGCATAATGAAGAAAACCGGTAGTTTTGTAGATATGCTCTGGAAATCAAGCTTGTTGCCATGAAAACGGAAACAATAACAATACTAAAAGTTCATTCCAGTTGTGTTATTTCACACGTCCAATTGTGTTACTTCACACATGTCCAATTGTGTTACTTAACACATTCCAATTGTGTTATTTCATTCTTGTCCAATTGTGTTATTTCACTCATGTTCAATAGTGTTACTTCACACGTTCAATTGTGTTATTTCATTCATGTCCAGTTGTGTTATTTCACACATGTCCAATAGCGTTACTTGACACATGTCCAATTGTTATTTCACACATGTCCAATTGTGTTATTTCACTCATGTCCAATTGTGTTACTTCACACGCCCAATTGTGTTATTTCACATGACCAATTGTGTTACTACACACTTTCAGTTGTGTTACTTCACGCATGTCCAATTGTGTTATTTCATTCTTGTCCAATTGTGTTATTTCACTCATGTCCAATTGTGTTACTTCACACGTTCAATTGTGTTATTTCATTCATGTCCAGTTATGTTATTTCACACATGTCCAATAGTGTTACTTGACACATGTCCAATTGTTATTTCACACATGTCCAATTGTGTTACTTCACACATGTCCAATTGTGTTACTTCACACATGTCCAATTGTGTTACTTCACACATGTCCAATTGTTATTTCACACATGTCCAATTGTGTTACTTCACACATGTCCAATTGTTATTTAACACATGTCCAATTGTGTTACTTCACACATGTCCAATTGTGTTACTTCACACATGTCCAATTGTGTTACTTCACACATGTCCAATTGTTATTTCACACATGTCCAATTGTGTTACTTGACACATGTCCAATTGTTATTTCACACATGTCCAATTGTGTTACTTCACACATGTCCAATTGTGTTACTTCACTCATGTCCAATTGTGTTATTTCACTCATGTCCAATTGTGTTACTTCACACATGTCCAATTGTGTTACTTCACACATGCCCAATTGTGTTACTTCACACATGTCCAATTGTGTTACTTCACACATGTCCAATTGTGTTACTTGACACATGTCCAATTGTGTTACTTCACACATGTCCAATTGTGTTATTTCACACATGTCCAATTGTGTTATTTCACTCCTGTCCAGTTGTGTTACTTCACACATGTCTAATTGTGTTACTTCTCATTTGTCCAATTGTGTTATTTCACACATGTCCAATTGTTATTTCACGCATGTCCAATTGTGTTACTTCACACATGTCCAATTGTGTTACTTCACTCATGTCCAATTGTGTTATTTCACTCCTGTCCAGTTGTGTTACTTCACACATGTCTAATTGTGTTACTTCTCATTTGTCCAATTGTGTTATTTCACTAATGTCCAGTTTTTATTTCACAGATGTCCAGTCCAGGTTAACAGCCTGACATAGAATTGGACATTCTTGTTTATCTACTACGAATACATAGTTGGCAATAGCCAGGGCTGTATCTAGAGTCCACATTTCTGAAGCAGATAAACGTAATGCAGTCACTGAAGGTTTGGGGCAGTCGAGTAGCCTAGTGGTTAAAGCGTTCGCTCGTCAAGCTAGGGTTCGATTCCCGACATGGGTACAATGTGTGAAGCCCATTTCTGGTGTCCCCTGCCGTGATATTGCTGGAATATTGCTAAAAGCGGCGTTAAACCAAACTCACTCACTCACTCACTGAAGGTTTGTACATCAGTGGTTATTTCCACAAACACAAACTCATACACACATGTATCTCTTTGTCAGATCAGAAATCCTATGTTACAGGTGACATTCAGGGGAAATCAACAGCATCCTTCTGCAGGTATCTTGGTAGTGTCTTCACACCAAAAGTGTGTGGGTGCTATCAGAAGGGCAGGGTATGCTTACCCTTTTCACAAACACCTTGTGTCCTTGCTGATTTTCAGTGATCAATTTATTTAATTTTCACTGCGATTTTGGATTTTATTCTAAATGGAATGTTTCGTCGGATGATCAAGACTGGTTATTCTCTGGCATTGCTGTTTTATACTTAGTGCATCTGCAGGCATACATATAAAGGGCAGCGGCAGATCCAGGATGTTTTAAAGGCAGGGGTAAAATTCTTAACTGTTGACTTCATCGGAGAGATGTGCCACTGAAAGGCTTTGGATGACATAAGTCATGCTACGGTGACACTAATGTCTGAGTATGAAACTGCAAAGCAAGCCTATCTTATAATGAACAGTTCAGTTGATGTGATGAAATGGATGTTTGTATTGACAGTGGTGTCTCTTGTAATATATTGGTTTAGGTACCACATACTTATTTCTAACTAGCAATGAATTTGCAGTATGCAGAATGTCAAACATGAAGGGAATGGTCTGCTTATTTGTAAAACTTACACTAAACTGTCATCATTCTTAATCTCTGTATCCCCAGATGATGAGTAAGAGAGCGAGTTTCATGTAATTTTGAACAGTATTTCAGTTTAATCAGAGCACATCAGCTCAGTGTGAGAGAAAAGTTCTAAGTGATGCTGATTTTTGCATTAAACACATTTGTGAAACACACATTCTTGAGTATGGTGCTGACGAAGATTCATGGTATGTCTTGGCTTCGAACCCAAAACCTAGAATCCTGACATGCCAAAGGGACACAACTCTTGACAACCAATTGAGGTGGCCTAAACAGCTGGTCCACCCATACTCCCTCAAAGAACAGCCATTATGCAATATCCTGTAATTTACAAGAAAGACTCTCTAAATCTTTCTATTTATTTATTTTTTCTGTCTTCATCATCATCCTCATCATCATCATCATTACAGTTCATTCTACTGGGGCTGCTTGTATGTGGAGGATGTTCCCCAAGCCTGGCTGTTGTAGAAGCTCCTGAAACACAGACAAAGAAACAACTTCGATGTATCACCCTTTGAGGACTAAACAGACTGTGAACCAAAGACCTGGAAACAAAATATAAATATGTCAAGTATTCTGTTGTGGTTGAGTGGGATGGGTTTTCCATGATACATTCATTATAATTTTGCCTTTTATGCCCAATGGAATCTGTTTTGTTGTATAATCAATACTGGTTATTCTCTGGCCTTGATGTTTAACATTTAATGCCAGCATTTCAGTTACATCTCTCAAAGTGAGGGAAAGTTCAACATGATGTAGGTCATAAACATCACCACTTTTGGTAATGAGCTGACAAACCAAGGCTCATTATCAGGTTATCTTCCCAAGACAAGGGAGTTAACTCACTGTAAAAGCCCAGTTTCCACCCTTGCCAAACTAGGCTGGAATTCTGGAGATACATTTTCGATGGACTAATGAGTCCTAATGAGACTAATGCATAGTCCAATCAAAACAAACTAGACATCCGATTCATAAACAATATGGATTTCAATGTGCAGATTTCCATCGACCGCAAGATTTGCAAAGCATGTGTACTGTCAACAAGGCATCAACAGATATTTTCCAAATCTTTTCATGTTTTTAATCAAGGTGCTCAAATGATCTGAGGTAAGACCCTTTTTATTACAATATAGATCTTGATTATCGATGAGCTTGTAATAGCCACTGGTGGCGCTACAATCGAGTCACGAAATGCCAGCGTAGTTCTGCAAGAGTGGAAACTGGACTTCTGTAGTGTGTTAACATCATTGCCTCAGGAATATATGTCGGGGGGGAATTTGGGATCATCTTTTTCAGATGAATACTGATATCAGACCATATGTACAGATTGTAGAGGATAATAGAACTACCCTGACTGAAGCAATATATGTACATCAAGTCAATGAAGTCAGGTTAACAAGGTGTCACTGTATATATACATACCTTCATTTAATAACACAATTTTGTAACTACCATATTTAGTTTATCTATGAGACGTGCAATTTCTATGTGGATTGCAATTTGATAGCAGGTTCAGGATTATTACAGTTACCATAATTTAAATACTTCTCTTACAACCGCCTCTATTAACAAAGTACTAAAATAAATGAGCCCGCCCTTCTCAGATGCACACATCCTGGCCTCCCCCTGTATTGTTTAGTTCTGTGCTTATTCCAAGCAATCATTTACTTGTGCTTTCTAAATGACCAATATTTACATCATAAGGAATTAACTATGCTGAAGTGAGTGAGTGAGTATGGTTTTTCGCTGCTTTTAGCAATATTCCAGCAATATCACGGAGGGGGACACCAGAAATGGGCTTCACACATTGTACCCATGTGGGGAATCAAACTCGGGTCTTCGGCATGACAAGCGAACAAGGCTACCCCACCACCTTGCTATGCTAATGGTGTTGGCAGGTGTGGATACTCAAATTAACTGCATGACACATTTAAGACTAGGGGTTGGTACTTGTGTTACCTTAGTGATGTATTAATTTCATGACTTACAGGAAACATATTTGTAAATAAATAAATCTTCTTATCCATTCATATATTAACACATTTCAAATGATTTCTTCAGGACATTACCATTTGTTTGAGGAATTGGTCCAGCGAGTGATTGAGTTTCCACAAAATTTCAACTTGGGGTTAGGTTTAACCAGGAACCTACCTGTAGTTTCTTGATCTTTTTCTGATATTCGTCTCTGTGTTTCTTGTCACTGCCATCCTCAAAGAAATCATGGAAACTCAGGAGCACTCGTATTCTCTTGATGTGTCGACAGGATTCTGTGGATTAACAGCAACAGTGCCATTACCACACATCAAATGGCAGCCCAACAAATTTACACCAACTTCTAGACCAATCTGTAAGTAATCATTATAAGCACCCCTGCATAAACCTAGAGTGAGTGAGTGAGTGAGTTGAGTTTAACACTGCTTTTAACAGTATTCTAGTTATATCGCGGCGTGTCAGCCTAATGTGGGACTAAAGCCTGAAGTTATGCATGTCTCGGATGTTTACCACTTCGGTGAAACCCACAAGCACGGGTATGCTGCTGACAAACCTAGAAACATAATCAGGGCGAACCGGGATTAGAACCCACAATCATAGGTTTCTAGTGTGCCCAAGGGATGCAACTCTGCACAGCGAATCGTGACTGGGCCACCCGTGATCCCGCATAAGCCTGGAAATTTACTTGACAGTCCATATTACGTATCAAATTACGCCCCTTTTATATGAAACAGCAAAACACAGACACACACACACACACTCACTCACTCTCATTAACAAACACACAGACACACACACACACTCTCTCTCTCCCCCCATCTCTCTCACATGCACACACACACACACCTGTATCAAAAAGACTGACAGTGCACTTAAATCAAACAGTACAATGACATACATATCTAGGAATCATGTTCCCCAGCAGAGTGTGCATAATGACAGCCAAACTTACTGTAGATCTGTTTGACAGCTTCGGGGTCAATGGGCGTGGCTATCAGCTCCAGGACAGACAGGTTCCGGAGCCCCGCCCGACACAGTCCCGTGACGTCATCAGTTGTCAGTTCCAACATGTGATCCAGCTCCAGGTACTGCAGGCGCTGACAACCTTGAACTAAAATATAGATACACTTGTACTTTACCTTGACAACCTTGAACTAAAATATAGATACACTTGTACTTTACCTTGACAACCTTGAACTAAAATATAGATACACTTGTACTTTACCTTGACAACCTTGAACTAAAATATAGATACACTTGTACTTTACCGTGACAACCTTGAACTAAAATAAAGATACACTTGTACTTTACCTTGACAACCCTGAACTAAAATATAGATACACTTGTACTTTACCTTGACAACTTTGAACTAAAATATATATACACTTGTACTTTACCTTGACAACCCTGAACTAAAATATAGATACACTTGTTGTACTTAATACTCAACATTGCTCTGGAATTGTTTTTAATTTCCTGGATTACAGACCTTTTGAATGAAAAATACTGGTCTAAACTATTGTATGCACAACTGCCTTGTGGTAAACACAAAACATTTCCATTTGTACAATAAAAAATAGTGTTTTTAAGATATTCTAGTTTAATTTTCTTAGCATTTTAAGGTATTCCATTTCAATTTTCTTAGCATTTTTAGAATCTGTATACTAATAAAACTGATGTATATCATCCTTGTTAGTCCCGACCCTTTTATTCGGAAAAAAACCTTCCTGATGATCACTCATTACTGACCACATATTTCCTGCATGTCACTATTTCCTCAAGATACACAAAGGAATGCCTGAGCTATAAGAATAAGGAGCCACATACAAAATGGCAGCCATGGTGGCCATACCTAAATTACATCAGGTCCTGTAAATACAGTAAAGGCATTCTTCATTCTGTTGTACAATATTACCAGCCACAGGTTTGCAGGCTAGATGTAATTGGTTACAGTGAGAGGTCTGCTACTGAACTACTGTCTCCCTCCCAGTCTGTATGTACATAGTGTCACAATGAACTCACCAAGAGGAAGTAGTCCCCCGATACTGATTTCCCGACCACCAATTCCAAGCTCCTGAACATCAGGGTAGAACTTGGCAATGAGCAACAAACACTTGTTGCTGAAAGACTTTGGTTTCAAACTAAAAAAGAAATATAAATAGGAGAAACAGACAGTGAGAACATTCAATGATAGAGAAACTAAATATGTGAATGAACACTGGTGTTTTTTATGTAATCAAAGTACAGGAGCAGACAGTTACTTTGGTTAAGTCTTACGTTTAATGGATATATATACACTGCAGCATTTGTCATCAAACAAAATGGGTTTATGTCACTTTCGTAACTATTTCAGGCCATATTACCAACCACAACAAGTGGCAGACAGATCAGTGATCAGGTTACAAGGGCAAGATTATGGATCCAGAGAAAGAAGCCATTGTGACCAACAGATCCACACATCTACTGCTTCTCATAATAAGTTTTAGTCATTTCTTGATGATAATGACTGTAATATTTATGATCCAGCACATAAGCAATACTTACACATTCAGAAATTCTATAAATCAAGATTTTCAGACTATTTTTTTCAGAAATTGATAAATTACTTCTGTGAGAGGCATTTAGAAGATGCAGTACTAAGTAAGGATAAGATATACGAATGAACAGCTTGAACAATCTTGGCCATGATGACAAGTTATAACCCTATAACTTTTCCTACGTATACATTTATGCACATGTATATAATTGCCTTTTCGTCATTTAATAAGATACACAAAAACAATATCAATGTACACAGTTAACTCAGTATTATAGGATTCCTTTCAAATACTCACTCACTCACTCACTCACTCACTCACTCATCACACTCTCTCTTTCTCTATGAGTCTCCATACAAAGACAAGTGGGAACATTTCAGGAAGATTACAGTATTTTTCATCACACACTCTATCCATCTCTCTATAAAGACCCCTCTACAGGTCTGCGTAGAACATGAAGGATGGAGAAATTACCATGGGAAGAGCGGTGGCACCACCAATGTCGTAACCCCTGGGCACCCTCCCCCGATGGCCCAGAGCACCTCTGGGGAGACAGGGTCGGTGCTGCTGACGTAGTGAAGCTTCTCCAGGAGTCGGCCGTAGCAGCTGGCCAGCCAGAGACACCTGCATCAGCGTCAGACCAGTGATGGGTATCTTCATCACATTGTAAACCACTAATCACATACTTCATAGTACCCAGCTTACAGTTTGTGTGTGTGTTTGTTGTTTAACATAGCTATATGTTGATGGTCTGTAAATAATCAAGTCTGGACCAGACAATCCAGTGATTGATATTGAAGAGCAACAATCCACACCGTTGGGGTACAAGTGACCGGGGAATATTTACAGAAACACTCAGAAGCAATACATTCATTACTATGTCTACCTTTTATTTGATTTGTAAATATTGATTCTTTTGTTGATAACATATGCAGATATGAGATCAAGATAGTTTCAAGGTGAGCACTATCACTGCAAGGGCCACCATAAATGGGCTTCACACATTGTACCAATGCTGGGAACACAGGTCTTCAGCATGACCATTAGGCTTCGATCCCCACACCCTAATCTATTAATAAGCATTTCCCATCTGTAAAATCAGATATGAAACAGTTATTTGATAATAACTTACTTGTCAGTGATATGATTCCCACAGGCAATTATTTTGAGAGAAATTAGACTATCTTGACAACTTTTCAACAGTTCTTCAAGACCAGGTTCAAGGTATGCCCTGAAAAAGAAACATTATCCATCTAAAACTTCAATAATCTTTTCTTTCAAATTCATAAAAGAAGACAAAGAAGCAATCTAACAACTGGTTCCACTTGCACAAACCTATTTTAGCATATAAGGCTGTCTTAACAAACTTTGCCAAGGGATTTTAGTTTAAGACTTTACCCTTTTCTGTGAGAATCAAACATGTTTTCCGCATGACAAGTTATCACTTACCCACTCTCTCCCCTAAAAACATACTTTATGGGATGGCCATTTATCATGAATGTGTTTGGGCCTGAAAAAAATTAGGTTTTACAAAAAATATGGAGAGTTATTTTTTTCACAATTCTTGTGTAACTTTCATAGCACTTACTACACCCCACCCCAATCTGTAATTATGACTGGTCCCTGAGTACCGGTAGTAACCACTGCTTTAAATGACACATTCTGTTCCTCGTGACATTAATCACTCCTTATGCCGTAACCACTGTAAGTGTACCTGGTAGCTCGGTGATATTCTTCTAGGCTTTCTTCATTGTTTCGTTGTCGGCACTGCAATCCTGGAGAAAAAAGGTAACACTTGAAATCCTATCTCTTGAAATTAATCATGAATATGTGATGAAGGATGCTTTTTTTTCTTTTTTTTCATTATATCATGAAAATATTTCACAATGATCATGATAGTTTGACATTCATACCACATGGGACAAATGTCTGGTAGTGCAAGGACACAGATCATGCAGCTGCCTCTAGAGGCATGCTTCTATTGCCAAACACTCAAGTAATCCAAGGATCATACACACAAACCACCTACCAAGCATGGCCGAAGCATGATCTACAATAGAGAAAAACCCGCCATGCATTGGCCAACATATTTTTGTTAAATATTCTTGTGCTAAAATAACAAATCAATACCCATAAATCATTTCAGACCAATTTCATGACCACTGGGGCCATTTTGTTTTGACTTTGACCTTGTTTAACAATGCAGTCAGTATATTTCCAGCTTTATCAAGCTGATTCAGGTGTAATCTGCCCTTACTCAAGCATTGGATGCTGAGACGAAGTCTGTCCTCAAGTCATAACAGATTGACACTGACTTTAGTTTACACAGGTACAACAAATGCACACACACTGCAGTTAGTAGTACAACTAGGACGAAAGCATTGTACACACATGAAGCCACACAGTCAAGACGTGTTATAGACTGAAGTTAGTACACATATCAACAGGCATAGCATGAGTGAGTGAATGTTGTTTTAGGCCACATAACAACTTAATCACAGCAATCTGTAAATAACCCAGACAGGGCACACCATAGGCTGAGTTAGTGAGTGGGGTTTTATTCCAGAAATATCTCTAATCAGGAACACCTAGAATGGTCTTCACATGCGTAGAGCATGAGCAATGGTCTAGGCCTTCAAGCATGATGGCATACCACCTAGAATGGTCTTCACATGCGTAGAGCATGAGCAATGATCTAGGCCTTCAAGCATGATGGCATACAATCAACCAGGTTCAAACATTTTATCCTTATTTGGATCCCCATGTGGAGACAAGCATGGTACTGTCAGAGTGAGTGTGTGAGTTGGCTTAACGCCACTTTGAACAGTATTCCAGTCATATTATGGCATATCAGCTTCAAAGGAAAGCTTGAAGTGATGCAGGTCTCAAGGCATTAACCACTTTGGTGAAACCCACAAGGACAGGTATGGTGCTGACAAACATAGAAATCAGGGTGAACCAGGATTTGAACCCACGATCACGGATTTCCTGCATGCCCAAGGAAAGCAACTCTGCACAGAGAATTGCAGCACCTCTGACAACTCGCCCACCTGTGCCACCAGTACTGTCAGAATCCCCACTAGGGAGCATATAATGAATTCATTAGTACATATTGACACATTGTTCTAAAGGTTAATGTTCAGCAGTGGTTAGGCAAAACTATCTTCAGTCCATGATAATGTCTGGTTCTGTAGTCCTATTATTCCTGACAACTAAAATCACTTCACATGAAATTCCAGTACTTCAGTATGGTCATTATGCTGATGCCAATGCATCTAATTATTTGATGAATAGCTGAAGGAAAATATTGGGAAAAAAATTGCAGTTCTGTTGAATCATGTCCAATACCACAGAAGCAGTAGCAAGTGTGGGCAGGTTGTAGGGATGATCTATAAAGAAACTATTACCGAACAATTTCTCTTTTTGTGGGTGATGATGTGTCAAAGTTAATAAATGATGTAAAGACAATCTCATTAAAATCAGATCTTTTACTCCTATAAGATACCTCAGAATGTGAAGATTTGAAGACACCTTCATTGAAGGTTGCATTAGACACAGACTGAACTTTAAAGGATGTGTGGGTTCTTGAGACAAAAAGACAGTCTACCGTCATCTAATTTCTTTACCGACTCAATTTCGAAATTTCTATCTTAGCAAAAGTACCCTCCATCGGACACCCTTTTCTGTGTTGATGACATGGCACTCTGAAATGACATGACTTATAAAATATCCATAACACTATAATAGCTGACTACAATCGTTTTCTAGATACAGAAATTAGACATGCTTGTCTTAATACTTCGCCTACTAAAAGAGAAGCCTCGACACCTATTGGCTGATCAGAAATTTCAGTGGATGCAACCTTCTGTGGAGAGTCCTGAAGATCTTCATGCTGTGAGCTATCATATCACATTAAAAGATCTGATTTCAATAAGACTGGGGGAATAGGGGTCTTACGCTCTGAATTCAAGGCAGTTTTTCTCCTCTCATCCCCCTCCTTCCCCCCCAAAAAAGATTAAAATGAATCCTCCAAAAATTGAAACAGTTCCTACAACTTCAGCCAAACATAATCATGTCTTGACCTTGAAGTGCAAGGCCATCTCTGATATTGTTAAACTCGACCATGGACTGAAGATACGTGTCAGCAAACACACAGATCACTTCACACACATCTCACCATGCTGGTCAGCTTCCTACAACAGAACACACTACTTGTACAGCAGGTCAAGGCCATACATCTAAACACTCAATAGGCATGGAACGATTCGCCAAAAGTTTTGTGCCACAATACGAGTATCAAGTCAGTAGTTCATGCATAAATACAAAATGACAATAATGTGGGGAATATTTAAAACTGTATGAAAACTTATCCTAAAAAACATTTTCACGAGGTAAAAGAGGTCTTGTATATTATTTCAAATCTACCAATATGTGACGATAGAATATGTCACCGGAGTGTTCATGTATCATATCTCCCTACTGTATCACTGTAGTTTCTTACTATGGAGCCGTATATCGTATCACTATCTTACTACTGACACAGGTACAGTAGAACATGAATATGGAGCCATATATCGTATCACTATCTTACTTCTGACACAGGTACAGTAGAACATGAATATGGAGCCATATATCGTATCACTATCTTACTACTGACACAGGTACAGTAGAACATGAATATGGAGCCATATATCGTATCACTATCTTACTACTGACACAGGTACAGTAGAACATGAATATGGAGCCATATATCGTATCACTATCTTATTACTGACACAGGTACAGTAGAACATGAATATAACTAACTACACATGACTGGAGAAATCAGTTTGTTATATACGTTTTCGCCCTTCGCCATCTTGGCTAAAGCAAAACACAATACACATACACGTTTCCTCCAGATTCAGTTAAAAAGCACCCAATGATACAACTTCAAAACATTTTGATCCAATTGTAGGATCAATGTTTGTTTTACAGACAAGACTGGTTCAAATTACATGGACAGGTAAGATTAACATAAAGCAAGTTTAACAAGATCGAATCGTCACCAGAGATTGTGTTGATTCGTCGCGATTGTGTTGATTCACCGCTGATTGCGTACAGCCAATTATCAGTGACACTTGACACAGGGTGAGATTTCTCAGTTCACTATACACGTCACTAATTAGTGGTAGATGGGCCTTGTCGGTGAGTAGATATTAGTTCGCTATATCCGTTAGTTTGCTGTAGAGAGTTTGTTATGTACGTAAATTTTATATGTTAATATATAGGAGATACATCGGGTATTTTTCAACAGTTCGTTATATCCGTTTGTTCGCTCTATCTGTATTCATTATACTGTATGTTATCACTGCAAAAGTATGATTACAGCCCTTCACTGGTTAAATGATGTATTTCTCGTGTCTACATGTTATGTTTCAAGGTAAGCCCTTCTTGTTTGATTAGATTGCTTATAAACTCTTTCAATACCTTAACAGAGTTCAAAATGACAAAATACATAAAATAATACCCTCAAATTACAAAAAGATAAAAATAGGGCTGATTGGATAAGGAAACAAATGTTCAATTCAGCATTTTTCTGAGAACTGTGACAGGAATGGTAAACATATCACAGCTCTTACATGCCTCACGCTAAAGGAAGTACCGGTAACGCTTTAACTGGTATTTGAGAAACATTTCTGGATCAGGCAGAGAGTAATGTATGATTTTTGTCAGTAAAATTATCAGGCTTAGCAGAAATAAAAAAACACTTTATTTTCATCCCAAATTCCAAACTATAAGGTTGGCAGATCCACAAACCCAGTAATACAATAAGGACGCCCAAAGATAATTAATGCTGCATCGGTCAACAGCTCCACATTTCCTTCCCATCCCATCAACCCCGCCTTCATGAGGTCATACTGTTCTGTCACAACAACTGAATCTCGTTCTATAAAAGTCAGTAACTCCCTATCAGCTGGAAAACTTATATTTTCGTTTTTTCGTCAAAGTGTATCTGATTTCTCTAAACTATGTCCAAGACTTAACAAGATGTCATTGATGAGTTTTCTAGTTTCCTGTAAATGTATATCCTGCATCTCAACTTCTTTAATCGAGACATCAGTATTCTATCTACAATACATTCAAACATTTCATGCAGTGTATCATTTGACAATCATGAACTAACAAAGCCTATATAATAAACTCCACAAAGAAATGTAAAATTTACTGCATGAATTAAGAAAATATGTTCAATTAATGGCTATGGTATTTCAACATCCCTCTATTGCTACAGGTTGTCAGTGTACCAAGGTATAAAAGGAAACAACCCTTGACTGGTGAGGATGATCCTACTGACCTTCTAGGGTGAGATGTTGGAGTCGTTGACACCATTGGGATATGGTAACCAGGAACTGCAAGTGGTGGTAGAAACACACATTCACACATGCAGTGATGACATCATCCTCGATTATCCAGTGCATTAAATCTCCATTTAATTACGTAGTGTCTTGGGTATAGCTTCATGAAGCCTATCCAATTCATTTATTAAAAGTTGGGGAGTGGGCTAATTCTCATAATTACAAGTAACCCCACCTCCATCATTAAATATCATTACAAATACCCCGGACCCTTCCACTATCATTCAAATGATACTAAAATTTAATCAAATAACACTCACCAACAAGAGAACTTAGGTTAAGTTAGAGATATGAACAATTGAGGTGATGACGTCATTTCAGAAACGAAGCTATGGTGGAAAATGGGTCCAGGGTATTTATTAAAAAAAAAGGAGCAATAATACCCTGGATAAACGAGGATGTAATGACAAGAACCCAAGAATGGTTTTCTAACAACAATTGTACATTCAACATAAATACAAGAAATAAAACTTGCAAATTTGAAAGGCCCAAAGGCAAAAAAACCAAATGAAATGAAATGTTGGATGTATGGTCAACATGATCACTAACATCATATTGTGTAATAACAAAACTCTGAATACAATGATGCAAGTGTCATGCACACAGTGATTCAGTGAGTATGGATTGATACAGTTTTCAGCAATGTTCCAGCTATAAGGGGGACACAAAAAATGGGCTTCACACGTCGTACCCATGTGGGGAAATCTGGTGATCGGGATGACATACAGTGCTTCAACTCTTGTCCCCATGCACACAGAGAATGTTGAACATGCAAGTGTGAATAACAAAAAGTGAACACTTCAAATTTATTAATCAGAACATAAAAATTCTGAAACATTGAGTGCATGATTGTGCAACAAAAGATGCATCATTAACGCATACAGCATCACAATATGAACCAAATGAATCCAATGATTCTCTGAGTAAAATATTACATACTGAGGATGAGATTCTCTCATTCTTCAACACTACACGCTTCCACAATTCAGGATGTCGACAAACATGCTTCCATTCCCGACACACCAGCGCCATCTGGCTGAGTGTCTTTGTATCCAGGTAGCGGAATACGCAGTACAGTGCTACACGGCGCCGTTTAGCAGCCTCATGCCGATGTCCACCAAGTCTGCTGGTATCAGAAGCTGCTTCACTGCTGTCCGCTGGGGAAACAATGTTTAGACAAATAGTGATGAAAATCTGTTGTTTGTCTGCTTGTTTGGGGTTGTTTTTTTTGTATAACTCTGCACTGAGCAATATTCCAGCCTTATGACGGTGGCCTGTAAGTAATCAAATCTGACATACAAAACTACACACAATTAATGCAAGTCAATGAGCCCCACAATGCGATTCATTAAATTGCCTCCTATGACCAGCATAGGTCTTTCTGGGCACCTATTGTCCCAGAAATGACAAAGTGATGAAATTAATATTCTTATCAGTATACATGGAAAGAACTCACTTAAGGAGTCCATATACTTCATCTTGACAAATTTTTTGATAATTAAAATTATCCACTACAAATCTTACAAATCTACAGGTGTGTCTAATGAGGGAGTAACTGAATGTCAGACAAACCACTGCTTGATGATCAAAGATCCATACAATCAGGGCAAGATAACACACAGCATGCTCACCAACTATGACCACCCAATCCTCATTAGTCATCTCTTATGACAAGCAAGAGGACCTTTACTGCTCTGAAATCCACACACTGCTGTGACCTAAGAGGGGAACGGATGCAAAAGATGAAATTCTATGCTTATAAAATGTCTCACCATCAACATGAAATTTTGGGACACTTTTGCGACTAGCACTTCCGCCCCTTGGCTGGGCCTTTTTGTGGGTGAGGACCTTGTTCTTCTTGGAGATCTTATGGCCCTTGGTTAGCTTGAAAGGTGTACTGAATCGTTCCAGATCAGATTCAAAATCAAAGTCTGTGCTCTCCTCTCTGTAGGGAGGAGCTGAACCTCCAGGCTTGTCCAGAATGTCATCCCTTGACAACTCATCATCAGTTGTGACATCATCAGCAAATGTGGCTCGAAGAGGCTGAGCCTGTTTCAGAGGAACGTTGTCATATTTGGCCAGATCATCCGTAGAGTCAAAACTGAGTGAGGAAGTCACACTTTGTCCTTTCCTTCCAAGGTTGTCCTTACTATCATCTGCAGCTACATCGACATTGACTGCATCAGGGCTGTCCATAGCATCTGACTGAGGTCGAACTTGCACTACATCATGGTTGATTGCATCAGGGCTGTCCAAAGCATCAGACTGCACTTCATCTTGCTTGATTGCATCAGAGCTGTCCATAGCATCGGACTGCACTTCATCTTGCTTGATTGCATCAGAACTGTCTATAGCATCTGACTGTGGAGGAACTTGAACATCATCCAACAGTCTAAAAGGTTTCGTGTCAGGACAGACTCCTGAATCAGCAAATGATGACTGCAAGTATTGGTCCTCAGCTGGCACATCTTTAGGATTGTCACAATGTCTCTCTTCAGAAATGAGTTCTGTGTTAGGCTGCTCACAAATCAGCTGATCTTGTGGAACTGGAGTGACCAGTTTGTCCTGATTAGTCACTTCTTTTATCTCTCGCTTCTTGACAAAAGGCTTCCTCCTTGGAGACAGGTTCAGAGATTCAGAGGATGAACTCAGCAAATCTAGCCTCCTTGACATACCGTCTAGAGACATTTTAGGGCGTGATCTAGACCTGGGTAGGATCATCTCTTCAACCACCTCATTTTCATCTCTGACGATGACTTTGTGTTTTGGAACTTTTCTCGCTGTAGCCTTATTTGAATCTTCTTTTGATGGTTCCTGAGCCATGATAATCACATCATGGTCAGTATCAATAGAATCTGCCCTTTCAAACTTTGATGTAGAAGGTTTTACTGGCGACCAGCTACTGGAGGACAGATCATCAGAAGAGTCAAAAGCATACCTAGACTTGAAGTTAGCTTCAGAATTTAATTCATTGTGAATTTTATTATTACCATTCTCTGCTAGTGCCCTGTCCTTTTCGTACACAGCCAAAGATGGTTTTCCCTGACTGTTGTTCAATTCATTTGTCCTGCTCGGAGCAGTTTTTCTATCTTGCTGTTTTTCCTGTATTCTGCTTCTGGCACTGTCTGGGAATTTCGGTTTTGTTCCCTTATCTTCTTCCAGGTACTTCATCATCTTGTCCCTCACTGACATGATATCGCTCACCATTCCTCCTTTATCTCTCCTCAGCTCTGAACTAGTTGTTCCTCTACCACCGATATGACCTTTACCAATTCTGACACCATTTTGACCTTTAGAAGGAGCTGCTGGTAATCCCTGATAAGATGACTCCTCATCTGTCTCAGCAATCTCCTCCAGCATCTGCCTGTGACCTTCTCCTCCTTTTGCAGGAGCAGGCTGGGACCCGGATCCTGACAGAAGCAAGGACGAGTCCACATCACCTGCAGTCTCACTGCCAGACGGACTCAGACGGAAGGAGTCCAGGTCTTCTGAGGCATATGTCGTGTCTGCTTGATCTTCATCCCACATGATTCCATTTTCATCAATGGAGAGCTCCAAACCAACTGATAGCTCACTATCTATTGATGTATTTCCAGAACTTTCAGCAAATGCTGCCATCTTTTTTGACAATTCTGAAGCGAAAAAGTTGAAAAAAATTAAACTATACTGTAAAAAATAAAGAAGATTTAATTCTAACACCATTATTTCAGATGATCTTATACACATGCCAACATGAAAATTTACAAGACCTTTATTGCTCCTTCTTGGTTGACTGATACCCTTCATCAATGTTTCTTGACCTTGTGGCTGCATCTGTGAACAGAATTCACTTTATGCCAAGAATTTGTATCAGCAGGCATATACAGATCTTGAATACTTGGTACCTAATTTGTTGAGGATTCAATGAGGCAGCATATAAAATAAGTCAGATGACTTTCATCCATTCCAAGAGAAAACTCTACATGTTGTTTTAGACAACTGTTTCATGGTCCTGGAAGAAACCCTACATGCACTAACATCAATATCAGAACTCAAAACAAAAGAGAACTGTATTTCAACTTCCTTATTCTTTCAATGTGAAATTGTGGTTCAGGTGCTTGAAAAGATATTACGTATACTTGAAGATAGCAGATATTACACATAACTCAATACATTTCCAATGGTTCCCAGGACTGTGGACTACAATGTTCCACTGAATTTGTCATACCAGTACAGGTGATACACAGACATTAACTGTTGTGTCTTCCAGAAAGTGAGGTTTCTACATCAGAAGAGGTTTACACCAGGTAAGGAATATCAGTGACGATTTGATGAAATGAATGATTTGAAAGCTGACATTACATGTGTCACAAACCATTCTGGGGTGTAAGGGATTTTACAATCGGAATGGTCTTTCAGCCAGTAAAATCTGTTACCTCCAGCATGATTCATTACGAATTCACAAGTTATTAAGATTATTCATTCATGAAATTATTTCGGCTTAACTTTAGATCTATCTTGTTACAGCTAGTTGACTTATTATGGTAACTTGAAGTGGAAAGGTTCATCATAACAAGTTAAGCGATGTCACATTAAACATCATGATCTCCATTCAAAGAGAGAATCAAGGATCTTTAACAAGACAGTGACTAGCAAATCAGATAGCTGGATTGTTTGACGAGTAATAATACATTTTATCCTGAACTGTATGAATCCACTGTACCTGTCTGTGAAGCTTGTGTGAGGGAGGCAGATGCACCTCATCTTCCGTCCTATGACCATACTGGTTGTGGTGGTACTCTGCTTCACCTTGAAACAGTCTGTCTGGTTGATAGTAGTGCTGTAAACTGGCATCTGAATACCCGAAACCAGACACCCCAGCATAACCACCAACATACTGACTGTATGGCATACGAGGAAAGTGTTCATAATTCTGTCTATTACTTAACAATGGCGTCACATGAGGAGACACTCTTTCTCCAACTCCACTAGAAACCATGTTAGGCTGAAGATCTGTCCTAGGATACATCTGTGGCCTATGGAGGCCGGCCAGAGGGTTTGATGAATATTGGAATGATGGTGACCCGGATGGATAAGAATCAAACTTTGATGCTGATCCTGATATCGGTAGAGGCCCAAAGTTCGGGGGGTCAGTCTGGTTCTGGTCATAGAACTTGTTCCTGATTACCATCCCAGGTTCTGATGATCTGTATGTTGAGCCTGACTTTGACACTTGTTCCCTGACAGTGTCTCTGTGTGTACTTGCAGGAAGACCGACATAACTGTCTGGAGAATGTGGATTCAGGTCAGTAGCACTGTCAAGATGTCTAGAATCTCTCTGTTGAGCAGCTCCTGCACCTTCTGATCTGCCTGCTGGGTTCTTGACCTTAGGCTCCTCCAGCTTCAGTCTTGGCTTGATAGAATCTCTCAGTCTCTGTATATTTTCTCTTGAGGAACTTTTGATCTGATCAAGATCTGATGTCACTTCATGTAGCACCTTCCCAAGCTTCTCGTCAGATTTTGACCTTGCCTCTGTTATCATGTCTTCCAATCTGTCAATTCTGTCTGAAAGCAACTTGTCCCGAGAATTGTCATCTTTTTCCTTTCTAACCTGGAAAATAGATTCACCCCGACTTTCTTTCCTTCTCCTGTCTTCCAGTGATGGCCTAGTGGCAGAAGCAAACCTATCTGCCTCATGTGTTGTTGCAGGTCTTTTAGACAAAGCACCTGTTCTCAACCTTTCAGGACTGTCATATGTCCTTTGTGAGGGCCTTGTTTCTCTTCCAGTAGACCGAGAATGGGGAATGGGATCTGTACCACCAAAATTTGTTCTTGGGTTACGAATACGATCAAAACCAAATGTTTTTGGTCGCACAGCAACACTGTCTCTTTGCCTGTTTGCAATCACATCTTGTCTCCAAGATGGTATTGCATTCCTCTGTGTGGCATCTGTTTCCAGGCCTTGCCATAGCTTTTCCTCTCCTTGGCCTTGACCTGACATAATTCTTGCCAGGACTGCAGCTCGAGCTGAACCAGGATTACTACTGGAATGTCTTGGCTTTGGTTCCATGTCTGAGTCCCCGGAATCTGTGTCAGTGCTGGATGTCAGATGAAGACAGTGTCTACATACAGCCCTTGGCTTCTTTGTTCTAACTGGCTTCTTTGGTGTGCTGGAATGGATTGGAACTGGACTCCCTTGAAGTGTAGAAACCCTTTCTTGTTCAGATACACTATCTAATTTGGAACATTCAGAACATTTAACTTCTTTTTGTATTCTTTCTGCATTTGTTGTAATTGCTGCTTTTCTTTGAATGCTCAGTTCTTTGTCTTTATCTAACTGCAAAACTAAATGATTATTTTCATTTACAGCTATCTTGTAACCACGACACAATTTCTCATCCAAATTTGTTTGATGTTTGTTTGAACCATTGCCTACAATTTCTTTTGGCTTTTCACCCAGTCTTTCTGCATAATTCTCCTCATTTGTCTTCCTACTGGTGTCCTGGTCACCTGGAAACTCATCTGTCTGGACAGCAATCTCTGACACAGCAGGTCTCTCTAGGGCACCTTCAGAACCATCCATGACAACTGACCCTGGTCTAATCACTGCAGTCTGACCACCTATTGCACTACTGTGAACTGATTGCTTCTGAGGTTGGTGAGTCCCATCTGATACATTATCCTTGGCATTTAGCAATGGAACCCTCCCAGATCTCATGCCCCGGTGCTCTCTGGAAGTGGAGTCAGGGTTACTTGGTTTATGAGATGTTCCTTCAGCTGATCCAGTGTGTAAATGACTGTCTTCAGTTGGTCCTGATATGTCTGCATGGTTGTCTGCAGGAGGCTTGGTCCTATGCTTGGTCTTGCCTCTAGGTGCTGCTGTTGGTGGCCCTTGTACTTCCTTTGGGATGCTGACAAGAAATCACATCATTAAAATCACATTTCAAATATTTTCTTAACAGTGTTCAAAATTAAGATAATATCTGTTAAACATTTTGGCGTACCTTGATGTCAACACTACATTAAAAAACTCCAGGAGTGCATGCAGAATCCACCTTAATTAATGCACTGCCTAATGCCTCAGTCTGGATTAACCACATAAAAAGTAAGAATGGATGCAAATACTATGAGTCCCACTGGACTCAAAAGAGTGTGGATGTTGGAATGATTGAAATCAACAGAAGAACGTATTTTAGCTTATCTGATATTTCTATGATAAGGCATACAATGTTGAACGTATTAATAACCAGGTTTGAACCTCTTGATAAAGTGGGGTGTCATCATTGGTGGGAACAAGGATGTTAAGTTTCAGCTTCATCGTTCCTTGGAACACATCTGTGGCTAATGAGAAGAAGATGTGTATCACACATGTTGCACAACCGGTAAACAGGTCACAACACAAGTACACTTGACTTACAGTCAGGTGAGCTCAAGAAAACACATTACAAGCTAACATTTACTTATGGGAGCCGGGAACGTATACTAAGCATCACAATGAGCTTGTCTTACCCCTGGGGATTGTCGGTGTAGAGGACCGGCTCTGTGAGTGTGTTGTGTAGTGCCATAGGTATATGTGTCGATCCCAGGCTCTGCAATAATAAATGCATGTCAGTGAGCTGGAACCCAGTGCTTAGACTCATCTTGTTTAGGCAAATCTAACAGGATCATCAGGAGGATAACTCTGGCATTTTTGTAAAACTTCATGAAAATCATGTTAAAAAGTCTTTTATCCTCTGGTTTTACACACACAAACTTGTCCACTGGGTATGTTGGAAGACGTGAAGAACCTGTATTTAGTAAAAACATTGTTTCCTTTCAAAGAAAAAATGTAGGACTGAAAACATATTCTGTGGCAAACAAAAAATCCCAGGCCCCAAAAATATTAAAAGGATGATCCCTTTGTGGGAATTCCAAGGGACAAAACCCTTTATATCCACAAAAACAAGTCATATGATCATACACAAAAAGTTAATGCTAACATTATTCATTTAATGTTTGGCTTTTATAAAAAATTTATTGGTTCATCAAAATATATATTGAAAAGAGAGTGCAAACTCTGGCGAAATATTCCATTTCAGAAGGTCATAGGACTCACAAGCTATTTCTCACAACTTTTCTTCATTCTATCGGGGCGGTCGGGTAGCCTAGTGGTTAAAGCGTTCGCTCGTCATGCCGAAGACCTGGGTTCGATTCCCGACATGGGTACAATTGTGTGAAGCCCATTTCTGGTGTTCTCCGCCATGATATTGCTGGAATATTGCTAAAAGCGGAGTAAAACCATACTCACTCTTCATTCTATCAAATCAGGATAAATTAGGATTTCATTTCAGCAAGCGTATAGTCATATAACGTATAGTCTATATCCCCCGCCCATTTTAACACGTTCTGTCTTGTTGCCATGGAAACATAAAAAATAAAAATTTATAAAATTCCTAAATAGCAAAAGACACCTTTTCAGTATGTGCCTAGAAGACATGCAAAGTTTTGTAAGAAAGTATTTAACGTTTTTTTAGTTATGCTCCGGAAACGAACACCACCCTTATAGAACCTAAGTCCAACTTTGTTGGGGCGGGGGATAGAAAGTAAATGCCTGTTGATTAGAAGGCTTTGTTGTTACATTTTCCTGAAAATACACAGAATACTAGATGTTATTCCACTGAACTAAAGCCTGAGGTCATCTTAAATGGGCGTAAGTTGATCAAACACATCTGTCTTGTAATACGACCTTACAGATATGCAGGAAAAATAACATCACCTCATTAAAATCAATGTGAGGTAACTCAACACTGACAGGAAAATAGCCTGACATTCCTGGTGAATGTCACATACTGTAGCCACACAGCTGTTGTCAACAGATCGGCCTCCCCTCGCCATGTGTGCAATACAACACACATATACACTCTCTCAAAAAAGAAACGCAACCCCTATATTTTCAAGATGTTTATCTCAATATTCAAGTTATTATAACACATTTATTATTGAAGACAACAATATGAAATTTGGCATGGTGGCAGTACAGTTATGCAAGTTTAAGTCCAGACTTTGACAGTTCTCTCACTAAGATTGACTTGACGCAAGGGGGCGTCTTTCTCAGTACCTCGTATGAGCTGCGATCATGGCATTGCACCTCCTAGGAACAGAACGGATTAGACGCCGGATTCTTTCCTGAGGGATTGCTCTCCACTCCTCCTGCAGTGCAACGGCTAGTGCATCCAACATCTGCGGCGGCGGTGTACGTGCACGTACTCGTCGGTCCAGATAAACCCAAAGATGTTAGATTGGGTTGATGTCTGGTGATCGGGAGGGCCATGGTAACACGTTGACGTTAGAATTCTGGAGAAAAGTCACTGTTGCATGAGCAGTGTGCGGCCGGGCGTTGTCGTGTTGATAGAGCTCCCTCTGTTGGTCGATAATCGGCAGAAAATTAGGCTGTAAAACGTCATTGATATAGCGCTGGGCTGTCAAACTGCCACAAATGATCACCAAGGCTGATCTTTAGTTGTAAGACATGGCTCCCCACACCATGACGCTCCCTCCACCAAATCTGTCGACCTGCCGAACACATTTCCGTCACGGCATTGTAAGAGAAAACGTGATTCGTCACTAAAGCAAACGCGCCTCCAGTTTCTGAGGGTCCATATCCGAACGTTGGTGCACCACCTGAGTCGTTGGCGTCGATGTTCGTGGCGTAAAACAGGTCCAATAAGTGGTCTTCTTGCACATAGACCGGCCTCTCGTAGACGGTTCCTAATTGTTTGTGCGGACACTCTTCTCAAACCTGGCACCTATTTTGCAGTGACGGTAGGTGTGGCTACGTAGGTGGGTGACCCGGATGAATTGATCTTGAGGTGGTGTGGTAACCCTTGGCCTACCACTTCTGGGGCGATCGACAGTTGCATGAAACTGGGTGTATTGGCTCCAAAGTCGGGAAATCGTTGTTTTTTGAATATTGAGGTGCCAGGCAACGTTTCCAAAGCTTTGTCCGGCCTCAATACGACCAATGGCGATATTTCGATCTGCAGCACTCAACCGTGGCATATTCGACCTTGTCTTTCGGTGAAAATGATAGAGTGAATCGCTAATCAACACGTGCTTTTATAAACCCATACTTCTACTGCTCTTTCCATGAATTGCACGTGCATGAGGCTTTTGGCATGGGCCACGTGAAAATTTTGCTCACTATGATCAAAGTAACAATAAAATGCCCTCGTGCACGAAAATTTGTGTGTTTGGGTGCTTACGTTAATAAACAGTGTACATGGTATATGTGCATATCAGAAAAACTGTATTTACAATCAATATTTTCCTTCTTGGAGCTTTCTGACATTTTCAGACTGGGGTTGCGTTTCTTTTTTGAGAGAGTGTATATATATACACAGTATGACACATCTGCATGGACGATACAGGTGCCATCGGCAGGATATACTATTATATTACCAGGAGTGTATATGCTTGATAATCAATGCTAGAGGAAATTACTGGGGGAACAAGTGACAAAACAGGGGCGGTCGGGTAGCCTAGTGGTTAAAGTGTTCGCTTGTCACGCCGAGGACCCGGATTTGATTCCCTGACATGCGTACAATGTGTGAAGCCCATTTCTGGTGTCCCCAACCCCCACCCCCTGGATAGTACTGGAATATTGCAAAAAGCGGCATAAAATCAAACGAAAAAGATTTGCATACTTAACATGCGCTTCACATATTTAAATTTATCAAACTATGCTAGTTGTTAAGAAAATAATATGTAAACAATATATAAAAGTGTGGCTTTATGATTGTCCTTTTTGTACCTATTTTGGTTCTGTTTTCTCGCGTAGTTTTTCTAGTAATTGGCTTACAGTCCTAATCCCATCCTGCATCAGCCGTCCCTGTGTACATGCAGTCAGTTGGTGAACACAATGTGTTAAACCTGACTTTGAAATTCACTGCACGATTTGGGTAACAGGTTGCTGAACAATGGAAAAGGTTTAGCAATTGATTAACTGTCTCAATCAATGCAAACATGTCAAAATATATCATGTATGATTGCTGTTTCAAACCTTCCTGTCCAACAATTGTTAATTTAACACATCAGGGTCAGCACATCAAAATACAACACTACCACTACTGTAGGCCTATGCTAAAGTATTGGAGCAATGACATTCTTAGTGCTAAAGCTGCTCTGTGCAAGAGGGCCCAGGGCTTTACGCGTAAGTTATGAAGTTGGGTTTAACGCTGTTTGAAATGTATCACAGAATGTCTGCTTATTGTAGTAGAAAAGCCTCAAGTGAGTGAGTGAGTGAGTATGGTTTTACGCCACTTTTAGCAATATTCCAGCAATATCATGGCGGGGGTCACCAGAAATGGGCTGCACACATTGTACCCATGTCGGGAATCAAACCCGGGTCTTTGGCGTGACAAGCAAACGCTTTAATCACTAGGCTACCCGACCGCCCCTAAAAGATCCTGTCATACCTAAGGGATTCAACTGTGCAAGGCAAATCCCAGTGCCTTAGACTACTGGGCTTCCAGTGTCCCTTCAAAAAGGTCTGGCCAACTGGTCATTTAGTCGTGTGATTATTGATTTTCCTTATAAGACATGTTCTGTTGATATGTCACAGTGACATTCCAGTAGCAGAATTAGCTTGGGCATTATAACTATTGTCATTACTTGCGAAATATTGTATTTCCACTGGGCAATAGTATTGATACAGTGCAATGAATACTGCAGATTTTCTTGCAGTATTCGGGATGCCAATTAGAAACATCATAACAACTTCCCAAACTTTGGCATCTCTGCATAACATCAGCACCTAACATGTCGGCCATTTCCAAGCTTGTAGATTGCTGGGAGTAAATGAAGGAGTACTTGTTCTATGTTTTGGTTTACGACTGTTTGGCGCACCAGTTAGCTTTTTGTAGGTCAAAAAACAAAATTATGTAGGTCAGCACATACCATGAACGGTAATCCACTCAAATCAAGATAAATTACACGCAGTCTGCCCTGTCACAGGTTCTGACCACCCAATCCACATGATAAGCATGGGAAATTTGGCAAGGTAATGTGACAGCAGGATTGAAAGCGTGTCATCGTGACCTGGTCGCATGGATCGGTGCTCATGCTATCAACCACTGGTCTACCTGACCGAGGTTATTTATACATCTGAAATACAGCTAGCTGTGCATACAAGTCCCTCCTTTCATGACACTCCATACCTGAGACTCTTCACTCGCTGCCCGGACTCTTCGCTTCAGGGCCCGCAACTCTTTCTCTGCCTTGCCTGCTCTCTCAATCAACTCCATGATGAATTTCTCCAGTTCCTGGCGCGCCACTGTCTCTTTGGCCGCAGTCGTCTGCAGGAATGTCTGGAGGGTTTGTAGATCACTGGAACAGAACACCACACTTGGTTTATTTTAGGTTTTTTATTTTTAGATTTTTGCTATCTAATTGGTAGCAGTGGTTATCTACATGATTTTTTCGATGGACAATCAGAACTCTCAAATTGGCAATTTTTCAAATTACAATAAGGGCTATGTGCCTCGCTGTGATATTTGACTCTAAATACCCCTGAAGTCAGGGCACGTTCAACTGGCCATGATTATCATTTCATGAATACAACACATTTTAGGGTATTTTATATCTCTATTATGTGAAAAATATCCCTGTGTTATTGTTTTTTAGATGCTTAAGAAACATTCGTAGTTTTCTCTCTAATCACATGAACAACTGTAAAACATTTCATTCACTTAAAAAGTTAATTTTCTCTTAAAAACAAGTATTTACAATGTCAGTGTGATGCTACACCCCCGTTATTGCGCGAGTAGTTGTGATAAACACGGCCATCCCAAAACATATGATGTCTGACGATATATGTAACAGTTGGAAAAATACAACAACAAAAATAACATACTTATGAGATGTATTATTGATGAGAACTGTTACGGTGCTTGATAGACTGACTGTGCAAGTTGTTGGGCAGGCTAAAAACCTGCTACACAATAAATGTCACATACAGAACTGCGGTACATAGACATTATACCGGACACCAATCCGCCATGCTTGTTTGATGCTAATAAAGTATTTTGTATCTACTTTAGTAATTTAACATTTCATTTACTTAAGAAAGCATTTAATTCAAGCCTTGTAGTGGGGGGCAAGCCCCCCAAACCCACTGTTGTTTTAGTGAGGCGACAATTCTTACTGCATTCTTTCACAGAACTGCTTTGTTGCTTCGATATATTGGCAATTGATAATCATTTTGAATGTCCACATCAAGCAATTAACTAATTAGCTCCACCACTACTCAGTTTGAGTCAGACAGTACAAAAATAATAAAAACAATTATGTCGCTCATTAACTCTTTATCTTAGTTAGCATGAAGTCGCTTGGGGCGACTATATGCTACTACTGTTTTAACTGCAGGGAGTGTAGTATTGGTAGAAGGCTTGGCTTTGTTAGACGAGAGGCTGTGTGCAGTAGCCAGAGATTGTTTGATCGTTACTTATATTTTGTGTCATTTTTTGTAGTTGTATACTGGTGCAGTTATTGTATTTTCTGATTCTGGCTTTTGGCTCTGGTTGGTAAAATCATTAAACCGAAAAGTCCAGTTTAATGACCAAAAATAATGTTTTAATAACAAAATCTGTCTTTCACATCCCATGATTTTCATTTTGACATTAGTGACATTAATAACCTCTGTTGCTTCCCCCATTTCCCATCCCCTGGCCTTGAATAATGAACAATCCACTGCTAGCAAAATAGCTGCATTTAGTACTATATTTAAAGGTTGTCTGTGGACACATGAAGCTTATTCTTTTTTTTGGAAAATACTTAATCAGATGTTTCAAATGTGAATAACCACCTCTCATGGACACAGCTGATTTGATGGAAGTTTATATTAATAGAAAAGTACTTCTCTCTCCATCAGTCAATAGGCATTACAAAATAATATGATCACATGATATGCCACGAGTTGAGTTCCAAATTCAATTTATCGAGTTTAATCTCCAGGCAATTTAGGCCACACTTTTCTAAGTTAAGATAAGAATAAATTTATTTATTTCTTTTACCGGCTGCTTTTCAGTAGGGGCTGGGCCTGTGAAACAAAAACTAAACAATGTGTGGCCTTAGATTACTTTGGACTCACTTTGCTGGTTAATATTTTGTTCTTCAATAGTACACAATAACCATACATCATCTTTGTAAAACTATGTTAAGGTCTTACCTGTTGGTTTTCTGAAGTTCCTCTTCCTTCATCACAACCTCCTGCTGCAACTCAGCCACTGACTTCGTCCTGTCCACAACCTCTTGCTTCAGTGTTTCAGTTTCTTCAAGAAGTTTATCCTTCTCACGTTTTGTGTCATCTAACTCCTTCTCCATCATTTGTAAACTCTTCTCCGTTGTCTTCAACATTGAGTCCATAATACTCCCTTTCTCATCGGCGTGTTGTACAATGCTCTCACTCTCAGCCAACAGATGCTCGTTAGCCACCTGAAATTGATGGAGCTTCTCGTTTGCTGCTTTCAGCTGAAAATCTTTCAAGGCCAGCATTTCTTTTAACTTGGCAATATTTTTATCTGCTTCACGATACAACTCAAATGTTTCTCCAACAAGTTTAGTCTGTTCCTTTTTAGCTTCTTCAAGATCGGAATTAAATTCATGCAATTCTTCATTTTTGCGGCGGAGTTCTGATTTTAGACTCTCGTTATCATTATTTGCTTTGGATAACAAGTCATCCATTTCATGAAGAAGAACCAATCGGTCTTTCTCCAACTTTTCAGATCTTTTCCTTGCATGAATCAATTCCTTATCTTTTTCCTGCATCTTTAACACAGCATCCCTCTGCATCTTCCTCAGTTCCTGACTCAAGATGTCGAGTTCACCAATCTCCTCCTCAGCCTTCTCAAACGAGGAATCCCGATCATATTCTCGAGTTTGAAAACTCCGTGCCTCAGTCCTCGGCTTGCTAGTCTCGAACTGATCCATGTTGTCCCTCAATCCATGCACGTTCATCTCAGCTCGCCTCCTCATCATGCTCCTCTCCATCATCATATTTTTAGCATCCTTGTGAGACTTCCAAGAAGGACCACGACTCTGCTTGGCTGCCCAGTCCTCAAGACCATTGTCCCGGAGTCGTGACAGCTGGACATTAATCCTGCTCAACTGAGATTCCTTTGCTTCTAGTTCTTCACTAAGCCTCTGACTTTCATCATTAGTCTTCCTGGACAGGATCTCAGAACTTTCAATCAGCTGGTTCTGCTCCTTCTTGAGCCTATCCAGTTCTTCCTGCGACTTCTTCAGATCCTTCTCCTTTGCCTTAAGGTCTGCACTCAGCTTCTGAATCACATTCTTCTGTTCCGTGCACCGCGTCTCGGCAGCCTGTCCCACACCCATCAACACTTCCTCAGCTTTAATCAAAGCATCAGCAGTCTTCCACTGCTTCTGTCGACTGACAGTCACTTCTTGAGTCATACTATTTAATGTATTCTTCAAATGATCATCTTGGAATGCTACAATTGAAGGTTTCACAAATTCAGACCTCACTGACATCATATCGCTATTGCTAAAGCTACCTGGAGCCTTTTCTCCATATCTCTTCCGTTTATTGTTCATTTCAAGATCTTTGGCTTTTAGAAGTTCATTTTCAAGACGCTTTCCCTCATCAAAGAATGACTGAAGCAATGGCGAAAAACGCCCAGATTTGTCTGTGTTTCCATTGAAAACTTGTATCCTCTTTCGTGGACTTGGCACGTAAGAATGTTCCTGTGACAAATGCTTCTTTAAATCATGCAGTACAGGAAACACCTTCCCGTCTCCACACTTCGGGCACCTGTACGGCACATCCATTTTCGAAACTTCCAAATGCTATATATTTTTAGCAACACTTTTGAGGATCACATCATGTTTTAACTTGTTTCAACAGTTTTATCAAGGGTATTTGTCATCATCATTTCGTCAGTCCATCTGTATCATTTATATACCAGTTCACGTTGCCGTCGTTTATCACAATAACGGCATCAACAATTACTGATATTATTGCTTGTATCACATGGCGAGAGAAGGAATGTGTTGATGTATAATGCATGTGCTCTCAGCTATTCTCTCATGACCCTTCCATTGTTAACAACAACAGACCTTTCCTCAGTAGTTGACCATCTGGCATCTGCAAGAAATATCAGTCAAATTAGTGCACGAAAATATCAAGGAATAAAAACTTAGATTTGATAACTGTAAATATTACATCAATTATGAAAATAAATGATGTTCACTGCATGGAAAATAAATTATTCCCTTGCTGACAACTGGAAGACATTTGTTCACAGGCACTGACATGTGCATTTTTTGTTTTTGACATCATTGTTTGATGCAATTTTTTATTCAAAGTTCACACCATATATTGTACACTGAAAAATGCATAAGCCTTTCCCTTGCACTCAAACACCTAAACAGCTGGCACTCTCTCGAATATTCTGTTGAATCGCCCTCTTTTCACAAAAGAGTTCACATTTAATACACTGACAATTAACTCAATACACAATTTGCATGGGCAAAAATATAATTCTTAGGACCAACCAAATGATATTCTGGGAGGGGAGGGGGGCTAGGATTTTGTCTGGAGATTAGATATTTATTTTTTCACCTGCAAAACCAGATTATTTTTTCATAAAAACTAGAGCCTGATCTTTTAAAGAAAACCTTTAAACACCTTGCAACAATGTAATGTTTACTGCAATAATTTATTTATTTACATTCTGTGTGTCTGCTATGAAAATGAAATATGTAACAAGGTTTCAGATCATCTCATTTTCTAGGACATTTATCAAATTTCATAATGGTATACATATAGAAGAATGCCAGATCTAAAGATATTGACACTAGTCCCGAGCAAATTTACTATATAACAATAATATCATGTTACATTTTGTAACACAAATGTTTAACTAAACACCATGATAGTATGCCCCTGGTACAATAGGAAGTAGGAAGTCTGTATCTTTAGCATACACTTCTTATATTTCAAATAGAGTTGATAATCTTACACCTTTGACATTTCAAATAGTTTACACCTTTGAAGATCCAGGTTAGAATAGGTTTGCTGTGAAAGGTAAATATGGTTGTCGTATCAGGATAGGGTGGTCAGGCTCGCTGACTTGGTTGATGAATGTCATCATATCCCTATTGCACAGATCAATGCTCATGCTATCAATCACTGGATTGTCTGGTCAAGACTCGATTGTTTACAGACCGCCGTCATACGGCTGGAATATTGCTGAGTGCGGCGTTAAACAAACATACAGAGTTTACAATATCATAAACATGCTGAAGACCTACAATATGCATATAAAAGCAGGACAGCTGCACATCACTCTGTGAAAACTGGCAGTATAATACTAAGTCTGGAATTAATTGACCCTGAAGATACACATTGGCCACTGTCTAGACAACAGTCATCAAACTATTGTTTAGTATACCTAATGTTGTACAAATGTATCTCTGTATCAATACAGTTCACCCAACAGAACAATGCTGACAATGGCCCCGCCAGAATCAAACAAATACCACTGGACCACACCATGTGACACAAAAACACAATCATCGTGCAGAAACAACATACCGTATTCGACGTAATAAGCGCCCCGCTCTAATAACGCCCACGGCGATATTTGCTAATATATTGTCTAGTGAACAATCCCAATCAGCACCCCTTCCAATTGATCAATGTACACAAAACTTATTTATTTGTGTATAATATGCACTGGTGTGTTATATCACCCTTAATTATGGGCAATTAAATTCTTGAAAAATATATCTGTCGTATGTAAACATTTCAGGCTGTCAGCATAAACCACGAAATTTACGATCTTTCAACTCAAAATAATATTCTAATAAGCGCCCCCTATTTCTAATTTTGAGAGCGCCCTGGGCGCTTATTACGTTGAATATGGTACACCATATTTGACATAAAGTATCCAAGAGTGGATGCTCAATAAGAGCACTGTTCCGCTTCACCCTAACTTGGCAAAGCTTCTGAATAATTCATTAAGATATACAAAAATACAAAAATAAATATTGGTGATGACATTGCAACATGTAAACTTCTTGTTTCACAAACATGCTGGGGTTAATAGGAGCAGGTGCTTAGTTCAAGGAATACAAAGCATGAATATATACAGGAATACATCCTATTCCTTTTACAGAATACTCGGGACGCCTCTCTGTATTCTTATCAATAAAATGAATAAACATAATGATCTACACACTGAAATAACACATATACATCAACAGACATCCAAGCTTCTGTAATCTGACACCATGATGAATCACACATGAAGCTAGCAACGCCCTAAAATCATTTGATGGGTTTTCTACATCTCACAGTAACTGTCAGTGAGTATGACTGACAACATCAAACATGTAGTATGTGGATCATTGGACCCTGTACTTGAAGATGAACTAATTAGATATAAATGAACTGGGAAAAAGCAGTTTACCAATTCATTGTCATGTTTTAAAAAAAAGGCAATTAATGCCATGAAAGACCCAATCACTTGATCAGAGACCAATCAGCTTTCTCCGATCAACATCAAGAAAACCATTATCCTTTGTTTTTGGACAATATATAATAATTATTGTCAGATAAACTGGAGCAACTATAACAGGAACTTATTCAGTCACATTATCAACGATCATAGACTGACCCAAATTACCATATACACTAGCAATCAGTCTAATGTTGCACACTATCTAACCAATACACCTTGAATCAGACATTACACTGCAGGACCTGGCCCTTTGGTCAGTATAACTGGTCATTGGTCAGCAACACGGAGCCTGGTTACTCTCAGCTCCCATTCTGCAAGATCTGATCCATTATTCAAGAGAACATGTTGGCCTGATTCAAACATATGTGTGGAAGAATAAAAGGAAATGCATATCCATATCTCACCTGTAAATGAAAACCGTCAAATTTCTTGACAACATCCTGATTTCTAAACCATCCCAAAGTCACCTAGTTACTGATGCCATTCAGTCACCTTCGTCTGGCAATCTGACAGCATCCTTAACGAACTTCAACAGGTACAGAGGCTGATAAATAATGCAGGACAGGCGAGATGCAGAGCTAGTCACAACACATGCTGATTACAGATGAAATATTGATCACGTCGGGCATTCAATGATACCATCTGTTCAAAGTTGATTTCCTATAACTCTGATTGAAGTCATAAAATATGATATAGTCTACCATTTGAATCTCAGACCAGCAATATTGAGTCGAGAAAAAATCTGGTTTTATGATGGTTGTGTGTTTCCATAACTGAAAACTTGGCTAGACTTACCAAATGGTACTCCAGGGCCCTGTTTCTCAAAGGGATCTTAGCTCTAGGATTTCTGTAACTCCCATACTTTAACATAGGCTTATGACAGTCACAGTGCGAAGATCACTTTGTGGAATGGGGCCTTTTAACTGTATACAGGCTACACTGACTGTGGTTAATGGAATACACATAATGTGCATAGACATTGTAAATACAAAATATGAGTGAGGTGAGGTGAAATGGGGTTTAATTTAGCTTAAAGATTGCTACATTTATATAGTGACATGCATGTGTGTGTGTGTGTGTGTGTCTGTGTGTGTGTCTGTGTGTGTGTGGGGGGGGGGGGGGGGGCAGTGGGGCTTGTACTAGTCCGGACTGATGCCGATTTTATAGTGTTACAGGCAAAGTATACACTCCCGAGCTGACCAGTCCTTGTCTTAGCCCCTTAATGCCGAGCGCCTGGCAGGGTCACAACAAGTACCTTCTTTTAACGTCTGTTGGTATGACGGGCCGGGGACTGAACCCGTGACCTTCCGCTCTCCAGGTGGATGCTCTACCACTAGACCATGGAAGTGGTCTGTAAATACGAAAGTCATCTCTAGATTTCCACAGCAGTCGCTTCCAACATGTTCTCAGCAGCAGTGAGACACAGTGATGGCAGCTGTGATGCAGTCACATCATTTAACAATGGATGATTCATGTGCTTCCATGACAACTAAACCACTTCGGTCTGTGCAGGATGCAAACATAACATAAGCTAGAAAATGTGCTCCATCAAAGATATAAAAATGGATACAATATTAATTAATTTAATTAAGTATCATGTTTTTCAGAATTTGACAATGAAAAGTATTACCATATTTTGAATGAGAGAAGTAATTGTTTACTGTGACAGATTCAGAATAGTTCAGATCTTCATATCTCCTCTCTTTGAGAAATGTGTTGGTTATATAGAAGTGTTTTATAGTTAAAAAACATAACATGTCACTGCTTGTACTTCAATGATGTCTTCCTGATCAAATGTTCCACTCTACGTACTTGGTTTACTTACATACACCACAGAGACATCAACCATTTTCCCAAAAAAATTGTATTACCCGTTGTTCAACTTACGTCAACAAGTTGCGAAAATATGTTTGAATGAAGTCATGATAGAACCACTTTGCTCTTCATTTTTCTTTGCAATTTCACATAGTTATCTTATATAGTACCATATCAGCACAGTATGAATTCTCTCATAATTTCTCAGACAACAATTGTGAAGCCCATTTCTGGTGTCCCCCAGCGTGATATTGCTGGAATATTGCTAAAAGCGGCATAAAACCATACTCACTCACTCACTCAGACCACAAACAGTTTTAATGGTTTCAGACAATTCCAATCAATGTTCATACAGTATATTGTAGTGTTGATGTCATAAATTGTAGTGTCAGAGACATAGAAGTCAGTTAAAAACATCATCAAAAGCTCCTGGGGGATTCTTGGGCAGATTACCTTATGTTTGTCATAAGAGTCTACTTAAGTAGCATCCTGTAGGATTCTAGGTCCCTGGGAACCTATGCTAGTTGAGATGACTTGATGGATCAAGTGGTCCAGTCTGGTAACTTGGTTGATAGCGTGTCCTTGTACCCCAACTGAGTGGATCGATGCTCATAATATCCATCACTGAATTCTCTGGTCCAGGCTCAGTTATTTACAGGCAGCTGCCACATAGCTGGAATATAGGTGAGTGTGCTGTTTAACAACAAACACACAACCAAAACATCATGGGAATCACAATGTTGGACCTAGATGGTTGTGTGACACTGTGTACCTTGACACCACAAATTCTAACTAAAGCTATCAACTAGGGCTGAGACGAGTCCAAATTTACTACCCGGGTACCCACACCCCTTTTACCCGACCATACCCGGGTACCCGCTGTTGGTGTCAAGAGATAGGTACAAAATGTCCAATTGGGAATATTTTGACAGTAGCCCTGACAGAATGTATGTAGATACATGTATAAAACAACGTGGTCATGCATACACTGAAGTTTACTGAAGTTTTAGCTTTGTTCAAACACACATAAGTCAGAAGGAACGTGTTCATAGTGAAGAAATGCTAACATTAGAGACTTAAAATTGTCGTATAACCATGTAGTTATACCAGAGCTCCAGATAAGCTGCGTATCTGCGTAAAATACGCATTAGACATGCAGAAATACGCAGTAAAATATAATCCAAGCGTATCAAATACGCAACGAACATTACAGATATGCTACAAAAATAAAACTTGTGCATATCATCAAAATATTGTGAAGTAACCCTGCGTATTCGATTAGCAAATCAGCAACTTATTTTGAAATTATTACCGGGCATTCCGTCAACCTTGCCAAACTCCACGATGACAGTTACATCATGATCATTTGCCATCACACTTTCTTGTGGAAGTATTGTGGTATTTTTTAGTCCTATAAAGCTCTCGAAACCACACGACACCAGTTTGCAGGGACTTGATGAATAGTGTTTTTAAATATTGAACTTAAATACCCACATGTGTAAAACTAGTGGGTAACAGAAATTTGAATACTCAGATAGAATTACTGATACCCAATGATTTTAAAATGCATGGGTAAAATACCCACAACACCAAAAGCTTATCTGGAGCTCTGTATACAGTGATTTTTTTGTCATGAAACAATATATCACGTGACTTACCACGGGTCCGGGTAGTCATGTGGGTACCCGGGTCTCACTCAGTACCCACCCGACCCGGGTACCCGAGTTGCACGTCCCAGCTCTACTATCAACCACTTGTCTGGTTAAGACTCATTTCTTTACAGTATTCCTTGGAATAACAATGGTATTGATGACTGAATTAGCACATTCTGTAAATATTTGACAGAACCGATGCAACAGTACATTAGATATCACCAGACATGTATAATGCCATGGTAGAAAGTAGATATATTTTCCTGCTATGTGTTGAATGTTAAGGTTTCAAAATCTTCATTCAAAACCTCAAAACTATAGGTTTAGCTCCTAAAATCACCAGACATCACATTATCATGTTAATGGTTTATGATGCTTACACTATTGCTGAAAGAAATTCCCAAGCTGTAATTTACATCATTAAATGACAAATGTCTTTATGGTCCCACCAGCGTCATTAATGTCAGGGTGTGGTGGCTTTTGTATAGAGCTGGAATTACTTAATCCAGAATCTTAAAACGAAATCTATTGATTATTTATCACTTCTTGTTTCGGATGTCTTTGTTGAAATATTACTTTAACTATGCCTTACTTACCATGACAAACTGAAATTCCCATCAACAGTGAGCCTTGCACTGTGCTGCATTATATCTAAGCTTGATGTTGGAGGAAAGCCCAAGGGATGCAAGTCATAGACTTAAACACTTGGTCAGGGCCTGATCATTTACTATAGGGGAGTGGGGTGTGTTGAGATTGGGGGTGGGCGTGGGGGCAATAAAAAATGACACAGAGAAAAATGGAGGGTTTCGCAAATGAAATTATCACAACTCATGAGCATAGCTATGATGCTGGCTGACTAAGCATTAAAAATGCATGTCTTGGCATGACCTTGTTTTATAGGCATTACTTAGAAGTTGACAGATGACAAAGTAGACACAATTTATGGATAACAACTTCTCTATTTACTTAAGGCGATGTTGAACAGATCTAAACCAGAATGTTGCCTTTACATTGAATAAAGAAGTTGTTATCCATAAACTGTGTCTACCTAGGAATGACATGAGACCACAAACCGATATATATTTAATATAAGTTTTAGACTTTAAGTCACCCACTTTCCTCAGTTTGTTATTGTAGTAGTCAGTGGTAAATTGTAGGGTAACTACAGAATTATCTCCCTTAACTGACTGCCACTGTGTAAATTTCGGTCACTGTTTTGTTCAATATGTGCACTCATTTTTCAATCATGGTTATTTTTCATTCAAACAAATATTTACTTTCAAAGGTCATTTGAAGTCATTGATCAAAGAACCCCGGAGATCGTAAATTAGTATTAATCAGTATTAGTAGTTTTCCTATAGATCCTTTAAGCCCTACTTATGATAACGATCACTATTAAGGTGAATACTTTATTCATTCCAACATTTATTACTATGCTGTAATTTATTTTTATTTTTATTATTAATATTATTTTTAATATTATTATTAATATTAATATTATTATTATCATTATTCACTCATAAGAACTGGCTGGAAAATAGGACCATTGGATTTGTGATGTGGAAGTAAATTCAAACTGTTAATCAAATAAGTATTTCAAATAAATAGCCACAGAGTAATAAAACGTCACCGGTTGTAAATTCGGGACACTATTCATTCAACTCCCGAACTGTCAAATCCTAGGGCAGTTCCGGTTGCCTATCCTAAAACTTTGCCCCCAAATCTGTGTTATCTAGCTCAGATGGTACTGATGCTGATATGTGAGTGGCTGATTTAACATCAAAATTGGTACCTGCTTGTGTAGGTATCCTCTCCAAAACACCGCCTTCATGTCAAACGCCGGACGTCTGGTCAAAGTTCCATTTGCCAGGCACCAACAGCACTATTCTGCTGTGGAATGACCCACTTTGGCACCCACATCTGTTGCATGTTGTTGGAATAGTCTATTCAGAGGGGGTTAACGGTTCGTACGTTCGTCACAACTTTTCAGTCGTATCAAATAACTACAGTCAATGCTGTTTGTAGGAGTGTACTAAATATCAAGATGTGTAATATGTTTAATAATACATTGTCATCAGAACGTTGTTTAAATTACGCTGCAGTGC